ACACAGAAAGTAAAAAGTTGACTACCACATCAACTTGTCTTTTTGGATTTCTATAGGAAAGAATAAATGAAAAAGTAAAATCTGCAACTGCTGATGTTATTATTATAAAAAAGCAATATCTAGAAAGACATAATATGGCTGAAAATATTGATCCATTATTATTTTGGAAAGTAAGTTACTTAAAAGTACTCCAAAAATTAAATTAACAGTAATTCTATTCTATTAACAATAGTTCTATTCTATTTTTTAGGAAACAAAAAATGAATATACTCCTTTAGAAGAATTATCTCGTAAATATTTATGTGTCCCTGCCACTTCTGTGGAAAGTGAAAGAATTTTTAGTTCTACAGGACAACTAGTATCAGATCGACGTTCCAGACTAAAACTAAATAATGTTAATATGCTCACATTTTTATATAAAAACTTTAATTTTCTCTCTAACAAGTAAAATTTAATAATAAATATTAAGTAAATGTAAGAAAACTAATTATATATATATATATATGTATACATATAATAGAAATATAATACACAATATATATAATAAATATATAATATATATACATATAATAAATAATATATCAGTAATAAAAAAAAATTATTTTTAGAATAATTTGCATGTCTCGTACTTGTATTTTATACAAATTATAAATAAGCGTATCTTTCTTTTTAATTTTTCGAAAATTATCGATAATTATCGAAAGTTAAAGGACTCACGCTCACTATCGTAACTATCGATGACGACAACTGTCGATAAGGTAAATTATCGATGGCGGCAACTATCGATAGTTCTCGATCTCTATGCAGCCAGTTTGGTGAACTCGTGCACTGAGTTCTGTTGCACTCAAGAAGACTAGAAACTAGTCTTCTTGGTTGCACTGGAACAAAAAACACCGTCGCTGACGCCATTTTGGGTACAGAAAACGCTTTAGTGTACACTTTTTGAACTAGTACAATCAGTGCAGGAACAGAAAACAAACCTTAAATTTGAGTCGGAAAACCCATGGTGTAATAAGATAAGGTGTAACATTCCCGTGGATGCGCAGTAGTATGCGCTTCGACCAATCACATTTGAGTCCAAATGCACCCGCGAAATTTAAATACACAAATAATTACATATAATTAAAATGTATTTCTATTTAAGATTAAACGTATTTCTATTTAAGATTAAATGTATTTCTATTTAAAAATAATGTAAAAAATATATGGAATTAGTGTTGGCCTAAACAATGGCGAGGCAGGTAAAATATTTCCGTAAAAGCGCAAGTACTTAAAGTCTAAATGCTAAAAACAATGTGATGGCAGATATATTAATTGAGAAGAAAATTGGGACGTGTGGTCACATATGGGATACATACTCGCACAAAGGATATAACAAGGTAATACTATATATATATTATCAAAAGGACCCCGCACAAAATCATAGGATTTTGGCCCTCGGTGAAATTGGCTGAAATTTTAGTATGTTATAGTTCTTGACCCACTGATCAAAAGTGTCCATAGGTACAAAGCTTGATCATGACTAGTTTTTTTGTTATAGCCGTTTAAAGTTTTATTTTGTTAATGCCTCAAAAAAGCAAGTTTCTGTAATAAATCAAGAGATT